AACATTAATCAGAATCCAGAATCAAGACTTCAATAGCCTCCTAGAGCCCTTTTTGTGTGAATGAAAGGATTTTTACAAATAATAAGGAGGGATATAAAGAAATAACACGAAGAAGTTCGCTTTTTCGAAGAACAACGTCCACCTTACAATACAGACGGCACAGTACAATTTCCAGTTTACCTCAGGATATGGACGAAAATCGGTAGAACTGAGATAGTAAACAGACTCAGACTGCTTTTCTGAAAGAGCAGTATCATCGCTATTGAAAATATTATCCATAACGATCACTGAACGCGAGCAGCAGCCAACAAGAAGTTAGCTGGCTAAGTGTTCATCCGGGCGGGCTGATATACAGTGCAGTTAAAGTTTCCATGGGACTTGGACATTTTACCAAAACCAATTCTCTCATGAACCCAGAAGTTTCAGAGTACCTTGTTACTTTTGTAATAAACCTCGGAGTTCGCTTAAGACGTTTTTGTCGTTTTTCGATTCCTTCCATTCTAAACTCCCTGAAATCATCCGAACGTATTCAGTTCAGTCAAGTTTTATTAAAGGGAAGACAGACAAACGTCTTTGAGCCTCCTTCGTGCGGTACTGTGACTAAAAATGCATCAATACAGTATGAGAACAGTGGTTGTTTACATAACTGCAAGTGAAAAGCGAGCAACGGTCATTTACTCGAACATAGTAAACATGCACGACTAAATAATCATAACGGGCAGTATACTTGTATGGGACGATCCCAAGCAACATAAACAAGTAGGCAGGAAAAAAGCAAAAATAGCAGATAGAGAAAAATTCTTGCCTATTGTCTAGAATCTTTATGACTTTTAATAAGATTTTATGTGTTCGAAGGAGAAAAAAGTGTCGCTTATGAGAGGAAAATATACATGTGATAGGGTTGTCCTGATGATGAGAATGTGTGAAGCGAGACGGTGGCCACTTGCGCGGTGCGCACGTGCGACCATTGTGCCTACTAACCGCTTACAGTAAAACATATTTTGCTTGTTTAGGAAATTACATTTTTACGAATTAAATTATCTTTGCCTTTTCCTTTTACAGAAGAACGCGAGTTCAACTGTGAGTTCTGTGACAGAGCATTTTCACGGAAGATGGAAATGGAGCGGCATATCGATTATGTCCATAAAAGTGCGCTTTTCTCGCTTAAAGAGATTTTTTCAATGCATGTTTTGTTTCATTTACAATGCCCCCGCCCTCATCTGTCACCCATATAATCAAAGTCAGACGGTCACGTTAGTGGTTGCAGTAGCTTCATGCTATTTCTGGGTTGCTCATTGTATAGATTTAAAATTAGGACTGGAAATGTTTTAGCAATTGACGGCGCGTGATCCTTTCTTCATGACTGGTACGAGCCGGCACCTTCTTATTTCCCTTATTTGTAGAATGACAACTTCAATTATGCTCCTCCTCTTTTGTGATTTGTTTCAGATCAGCGAAATTTCACCTGTGATATTTGTGGAAATTCTTTGAAATTGAAAGAGGATTTGAAGAAGCACGTCAAAACTGTACACGAAAGTACGCCTCTCTTTGTTTGCTTTATTTTCTGGAATATCTTGAAGCCGCAGAAGAGTGAATTTTCGTAGTATTATTTTACACAGAGCTTGTCCAAATTTCTTCTTAGCGTGATCTTTCGCTGATGTGGTGTTTCCCGTAGAATGCCTATTTTTATTATCCTCGAATGTAAAGGAAGCCTTGGAACAGATAAACCCAGCCTTTAATAGGTCGACGCCTCTTATTCTGTTGTTTTTCTTTGTTTCAGATTTGGGAAACTGCCCGTGTGATATTTCTGGCCGGTAGTTCAAATGGAGGGCATCGCTAAGAAAACACGTAATCACTGTGCACGAATGTACGAATGTACGCTTCTCTTTGTTTTATTCTCCGAGCTTTCCCTCGTCTTTTTGCCTGCTATGTATGTCAATCTCTTCTTCTGACGCGCAGTTGACTTGTGCATGGGAGATGGCAGTGAACGACAGAGCGCGAGAGAGTACGTGAGGCTGGGCTGGGGAACTAATTCTCA